GTGCATCCTAAATTTAACATTAATTAATTATTTTAATACAACAGTCATTTTTTTCTGCAGTTTTTGGGGAGGTCACCTCCTAATAAATGTCCTTACAGAAAATCTAACTGCTCATTTTAAATCTATACTTTTACTTTTAATACTCAAGTACAAAAAATATCAGATACTTCAAGACTTTTACTCAAGTAATATTCCTAAAGGAGACTAACTTTTATCAAAGTAATTTTTTGGTAAGATACTTGTACTTTTACTCAAGTGTCACTTTGTGGTACTTCATACAACACTGGCTTTTTGTCTTTTTCAGTTGATTTCAGCAGTTTTACAACAAATTGCAATTATGTTGTACTCGTTTTGTTTCCATTAATTTACATAAAAAGGGGATTTACATCATTTTAGCCACTTTTACATAACTTCAGCACCTTTCACCTAAATCTTTTCAACAATAAGCACCACACTTCATTTTCACAGGAAATGAAATACTCTAGTTTGTTTTGTGATGGAGCCAGAGATAAGATTTACCATTTCAGCTGTTCTGTAAGGTTTTACTTCTTTAAACTCTTTGTTGAAGACATCAGACAGCTTTTATTTAAATTTTAACTGACGAGGACAGTGTTTTTTAGGACCTTGTGTTTCTGCAGACGTCTAAAGAGTCATGTACTGTCCAGATAAATCAGCTTAATTCAGTCAAGTCAGACTTCAGCTGCTGGACTCTGGTTCTGCTCAGACCCACCTGCAGTTTGGCGGAGGGTCCAGAGTGATGTCAGCCAGCTCTTTCTGAATCCTGCAAACAGAAGAATCTGAATCAATCTAACGGACGGAAACAAAAACAAGTCTTAATGTTAATTCTCAGCACAGTTATTAAACTGGTTAATTTACATTTTTAAAGCTGAGGTTTGAGACTGATGTCATAAAAAGAGTCGAGGTCACAAAGAAACTGTTTCTTCCTTAAAACGATTAAATTTATCTGACTTTATGCAGCAGAGGAGGATTTCTGCCAGGTTTTGTCCGGACCTTTTGGCGCTGGTGGAAAGCAGCTTGGAGGTCTTGCTCATGCTGGTTTTGCTCTCCCGTTTCTTCTTGCAGGCGGTGTCTCTCTGTCGGGTTTGGCTGGAGGAAGGTGGCGAGGAAGAAGAGCTGGTGCTGGCACGGGAATCCTCATCCGACATACCGGTTTGGACTGGAGAAGAGCCGCGACCTGAGGGACCAGAGGAGGGAGGCGGAGCAGCTTTACACAGATATTTATTTATTTTGTTCTTGAAGTTTGACGGCTGGATATGTCATCATCACAGGCCACTAATTACTAATTAATCGTTGACAGTTTTTTCTGACAATCAAACACGATCAGTGATGATCTGTAACAAACCGCAGACCTTCACAGAACACCTGGATAAATTAAACAAGGTGAGTTAGAGGAGCACTCTCACAGCCCAGACCAGGACTCTGACGTCTTCTGGGTGTACCGAGGCAGGGAGGGGGATCGACATCAAGCCCGCCTCTAACCCCTAATTTACACTAGATGTGTCTCCGCTGCGCTGCGCTCTCTGCAGTAAATACACACCCAATCTAACCAATGAGAGGGCCTCGTGCAAGAACATGTTCGTATTCTTATCCTAAATTTCTCTTACTTTTGTTTGTACAAAGGGTTCGTACGAACATGTCACGTCAGATTCAACAAACTCTTCTATCTTCAGGAAAAGTGTGTAAATGAGCTGCGTTGTTCGTATCCAGCTGCTCGTGCACGCGAGAGGAGATGATTAGCATAATTACCACCCCAAAAACACCATATAAGGCTATGTTT